ACCTCTATTTATAGTTGAAGTTTTGGGCTCAGGTATGGGTTTCGTGCATTTATTTCCTTATTCTCCATTGATGTATCTGGCTCGGATATTGGCTTCATACATTATTTTCTTTTTATTCTTAATTTCTTAGAATATAACTAACTTATTTGCTAACTCATCATATCTAAAATATGGGGTATTACAAAAGGACCTTGGGAAGCTGCGTTACTTCTTGGGAATTGAGGTGGCGCAATCCAGACAGGGCATTTCTATCTGTCAAAGGAAATATGCCTTGGATATCCTAGAAGAAACTAGTATGTTGGGGAGTAAACCAGTTGATACACCCATGGATCCTAATGTCAAGTTATTGCCCGGACAGGGGGAGCTGTTATCTGATCCTGGACGTTATCGGAGGCTAATTGGGAAGCTCAACTATCTTACTGTGACTAGGCTAGATATTTCTTTCGCTGTTAGTACGGCTAGTCAGTTTCTTGATTCCCCTTGTGATTCACATTGGGATGCTGCTGTGATGATCCTCCGATACAACAAAGGAGCACCAGGAAAAGGTTTGTTGTATTCAGATCAGGGAAATACAGAAATTTGTGGTTATTCAGATGCTGATTGGGCAGGATCACCCTCGGACAGGCGCTTTACTTCTGGCTATTGTGTCTTCTTTGGAGGAAACTTAATTTCGTGGAAGAGCAAGAAACAACCTGTTGTTGCTCGATCTAGTGCAGAAGCTGAGTATCGTGCAATGGCAAATGCTACCTGTGAGTTAGTCTGGTTAAAGCAGTTGATTCAGGAGCTTCATCTTTGTGAACAGAAACAACCCATTACACTCATCTGTGATAATCAAGTTGCGCTACATATATCCTCTAATCTTGTCTTTCATGAGAGGACCAAACATATAGAGATTGATTGTCACTTCATTCGAGAAAAGATTCAGTCAGGAGAAATCAAGACTGCTTTCGTCAACTCCTCTGATCAACTAGCGGATGTCTTCACTAAAGTTCTTAGAGGTCCTCGGGTTCAATATATTTGTAACAAGCTTGGTGCTTGTTGAGATATATAAAACCATTAATGTAGTCTCACCCAACAGCTTAAGCTTTTGGGTTGAATTGGTTCTTTACATGGTATCAGAGCCTCGTGTCCCAGGTTCGATCCTCGTCGTCCCCAACTTTCTTTCAAGTGGAATTTCTTTGTTCGCATAGGTAGGTTGGCCTGTGCGTTGTCCACCCTTATAGCCCAGTGGGCTCTTGTGTGAGGGGGCGTGTTGAGATATATAAAACCATTAATGTAGCCTCACCCAACAGCTTAAGCTTTTGGGTTGAATTGGTTCTTTACAGTGCTCACAATATATACGCACCAGCTTGAGGGGGAGTGTTAGAATATATTAAATATGATTAGATATGATTAGTCTGTAATTATTATGATTAGATATGATACACAACATATTATTTTATATTCAAGTTGGTATCAGAGCTCTTTTGTTCTGAGGACCCCCGCTTCCGCTTAGAAACCTTGTTTTTGCTTTAAAACCTAAGCCCGCTGCTTAGGAGTCCTCTTTCTTTGCCGTGCGCCTTTCCGGCAAGCCATCTAGGGCTGTAAACAGCTTCTGAGTAATTTTCCAAACGCGTCAGCACCGTCGACGGCCACCGGAACCACCGTCCGCCACTAGGACCACTGTTCAGGCCATCGGAGACGTTTTTCCGGCGACTTTTCAGACCAGACGACACACCTTTCCAGAGAAATAAAGCTTTTGTGCTGCACATAAAGGTTAGTAGAAGAGACAAAATGAGAGATAGGGTGTTGGGTACAAGATCTTTTCCCTTTTCGTAGGGCAATAGGTAAGTCATCAGAGGTATTGGGTAAGCTATCAGAAGCAACAATATTAGGTTCAGAAACAGGAGAAGTAAAAATATTAGCATCAGAAACAAGAGATTCAGGACTTACCAGTGGTTCAGACGATTGAGGTTGCTGGTGAAGTAGTGTGGGCTGCTTTCTCCTGTGATATACCAACTCAGGTGTCACAATCCTCCGTATTTTCGGTGTATCAGATGGGTTAGACACAAAAGAATCAGAAACAGGAGGAAGAGGTGTAGGAGAAGGCATGAAAGGTCCAGACTCGAAGATAGAAGGTGATGAATCTATTGAAGAACTGCTCTTCCCCTGAAGATGAGGACTTGGGAAAAAGGACTCAGATTTATGAAATGTGACATCCATTGAGACAAAGAATCTCCGACTAGCAGGATGATAACACTTGTAGCCTTTCTTATCAGAGGCATAACCAAGGAAGATACATTTGAGAGCCCTAGGATCCAACTTACTGTGAAGATGTTTATGAACGTGGACAAAGACAACACACCCAATCACTCGTGGCTAAAGACTCTGCATAGAGGGAAAGAATGAAGTCATTGAGTGAATATGACTTACATTGTCAAGAACCCGAGAGGGCAAGCGGTTGATTAAGAAAGCTGTAGTAAGAATGGCATCTCCCCAGTAGCATTTGGGTACACGATTCTGAAAAAGTAAGGCACGAGCAACTTCAAGAAGATGACGATTCTTTCTCTCAGCAACTCCATTTTGTTGAGGGGTGTCCACACAAGTAAGTTCATGAATCATGCCCTGATCTTGGATGAATTTGGAAAGACACTGATTGACATATTCGGTACCATTGTCAGACCTTAGTCTTTTAATTCATTTTCCAAATTGGGTCTCAATCATTTTATAAAATCGAAAGAATAACTGTGATACCTCAGATTTTTCATGCATTAAATAAACCCAGGTTACACGAGTGCAATCATCAATGAAAGAAACAAACCATTTATTACCAGAAGCATGAGGAACTTTAGAAGGACCCCAAACATCAGAATGAACAAGATCAAAAGGCTCAACACTTTTAATAGTACTAGAAGGAAAAGAGACACGATGGTGTTTAGCAATCTCACAAACATCACAATGAAAACACTTAACAGACTTAGACAAAAATAATGATGGAAATAAAGACTTAAGCAAACGAAATGGAGGATGCCCCAAGCGTTTATGATGGAGCCAAATCAAAGAGTCAGCAGTAGACTGAGATTGAGTCAACAAGGTGTGATCTTTAGCATATTTTGCAGAAGATTTTGGCACCAGATAGTACAACCCACCTTGCTCTTTAGCACCCCCAATCGTCTTCCTCGTGGCGAAATCCTGAAAAACGCAATGAGTAGGGAAGAAAGTTATAATGCAATTCAAATCTTTGGTAATTTTATGGATAGAAAGAAGATTAATGGAGAGTTTGGGAACATAAAGAACATTTTGGAGATGTAAGGAAGGCTGTAAATATATGTTACCGGAACCCGCAACTGATGTGTGTGAGCCATCAGCTACAGCTATTGTATGGTGCCAATAGTAGGGTTATAAGAATGAAAGGAGTAAGCACAACAAGCCATATGATCAGTAGCACTAGAATCAATAATCCAAGAATGTTTAAAATCAGTACAAGAAGAAAGAAAAGAAAGAGTAGTGGAGCTCATACCAGTCATGGCCAAAGCATAAGTATTAGATGGCTTACTCAGAAAATCAAGCATAGTACGAATCTGCTCCAACTCATCTCGGCGAATAGAAATAAATTCCGAAGATGCACCATTTGAACCAGCCATAATATAGAGGTGAAAATCACACAAACGCAAATCCAAATGATGTCTGACCGAAGAGAAAAACACAGCTCTGGAAAGAGGAGGCAAAACCAAGCAAGAATTTTTTTTTTTGCGTGAACAGTAACCGGTGAACAGTGTGCGTGAACAATACCGTGAACAGTTTTTTTTTTGTTTTTTGGAGCTGTTCCGGTCGTCTGATGAAAAAGAAACCTCCGTAGAATGATAGATCTGAGAAAACAGAGTGAAATAGGGGTCCTCACGGTCCAAAAGGTCCCCGGAATTTTTTTTCCGGCGGCGGCTTTGTGGCGGCGAGAGGCAAATATGGTTTGGTTTTTAAAGGCGGTGATTTGCGGAAGAAGAGCCCTCAGAATCGAGAGCTCTGATACCAAGTTGAAAAAAGAGATAGTCTTATTGATAAAATTGCGTATAACATCTGTACAATTGCTCTCTATTTAAAGAGACTAAATAACTTAATGGGCTAAGCCCAAAGAAGATTCTAGAATGAAAATAAATAAACAAATACTATTATTTACGACAGAACTTAAGATGGTAAACCACCAAAATTTGTACCATCTGCCATTTTATCTCTTTCTTGTCCTTTCTGGATTTAATTATTGACCCCATCTTTCATTCATTGAATGTATCCCTCACCATGCTCTTGCAACAACACCATCAATCTTCAGAATCACCATTTTTGTCCACTCCGGATTGATAAATTACTAATGACGTGCTTTAGGGTAGACAGTTTCCTCCCTGAACTATTCAGCTTGTCTTTGTGTTCACTCTCTGATGCACTTTCAATATCTATCCTGTCTTATTTCATTGAGACTCTTTGAGGTGCTTTATTCTTCCTGCTTTACTCCACTTTTGGTTAGGTCAGTTCCATACTTATAGATTTGTTACTTAACCCATAAGCAAAGGGAAACTAAGCAGAAGAACAGAACTGAAGCATGTGTCGCATGACAGAGTGGTGAATCCTTTAGAAGGACAACTTGAATTAGTTCATAAACATTGATCATGTAAAAATTTGAATTTTTTCCAAATATATTAATGGTTGATGATGACAAGAAAAAATATGTTCAGTCATAAAGTAGTTAAATGTGTTGTCTCTCTTAGCATTTCAAGAGCAAAAACTAAACGGGTTTTTCACATTTGAATATTGGTAGGGAAAAAGGAACTTGATCATAATTTTGAGGTTATGATGAAAAAAATTACAAAGAAGTTTGATATAATTAAACTGTGAATGAAGTTCATTATGTGGAGTAATGTCAAGAATTACTTTTGATTGTGCGTGCGTGTGCAGCGTGCACAAGTATATGTATATGTATATATATTTTTCAAAATTGAGGCATGTTACATTGACAATGCCGTTGGTTACAGGTTCAAGGCTTACCAAGGTCGTCATCCCTTGCTTTTATGAATTCACAGTTATCTGGGTTGTCCCAGAATGGACAGCCTGCGATGATTCATAATTCTTTAACACAACAACAGTGGCTTAAGCAAATGCCAGCAATGTCTAATCCTGCCTCTCCGTTGCGTCTTCAACAACATCAGAGGCAGCAGCAGCTGGCTTCATCTCCTCAACTGCAACAAAACTCTATGACCCTGAACCCACAGCAATTGTCTCAGCTGATGCAACAACAGAAATCAATGGGGCAGCCTCAGCTGCATCAACAGCAGCCGCCGCCGCCTCAGCAACAACAACAACAACAACTTATGCAACAACAATCACAACAATCTCAACTACAAGCATCTGTTCATCAACAGCAACAACAGCAGTCTCCAAGGATGCCAGCACCCACAGTCCAAAAGTCACTTAGTTTAACAGGATCACAGCCAGATGCTACTGCATCTGGCACAACTACACCAGGGGGAAGCTCAAGCCAAGGAACCGAAGCAACAAACCAAGTCCTTGGAAAGAGGAAGATACAGGATTTAGTTTCACAGGTTTTATTTTGACTTTATTTTTTTTACTCAATTTTTATTTATTGGTTATGTTTTGAATTATAATCTTCTGTTGTACAGGTGGATCCACAGGGTAAGCTGGCCCCTGAAGTTATAGATCTTCTTTTAGAGCTTGCTGATGACTTCATTGATTCTGTAAGGATTTTGATTTGCCTAATTTTTTTTCCCCACACCGTGATAGATGTGTATATGTGTGCATGCCAAAAAGGAGATAATATGCTACACACATCTTGTTTAACTTTAAATATATCACCTGGAATGATATTGTTTATTATTAATACAATTTTTTTCACTATATTTGAAATTCTTTTTGAATGAAGGATTTTTTCCTTTTGGTAAATAGGAAGTCCCCTATTGGGATCAAAGGGGGAAGGGGAATGTCATGCGGGTGATCAAACACCCCACCTTACAGCAGCCCCTTGATCTCGAAGATCATGGGAGCTACCATGTGAGCTAAGACTCACCCTAAATGAATGAATTTATTATTAGCAAAGTTGGTGAATGGATTGATTTTATTGTAATTAAACTTAACCAATAAGCATGCTTGTTAATTTCAGTTTGAAGGATTAATAATTTATTTATTTATTTTTAATTCATGGTTGAACTCTGGGTATTGTTAATGTTATATGATCTTTTAAATCCATTCTTGCCCCTCACTTAACAACATAAGCTTTTAGATTGATTGATTCTGTGACAGGATAATCTAATTGTTTACTGCCTATATTTTTTTAATAATTAAAATTTTATTGCGCTCCTGGTTGCTAATATATGCTTGATTCATTGAGATATAATATATGACTACTTCAGCTCTAATTATGTTTGTCATGATAATTCCCCCCCCCCCCCCCCCCCCCCCGTTTTCTGCATTGTAAATGAGTCATAATGAAAAAGTGGGAAAACTTTGGGTTTTTGTGTTTAGTTTAGTCCTTATATAATGAGTTTACATTTTTTATTTGATGGAGGTGATGGCGAGTTTTCTTGTGCAATAACTATTTTGCCATACTAAATGTTTTTGAATTCTATTTCTGTGTTTTGATGCTAAAATCCAGGGTCCATGATTTTGTGTTTTGGCCGAGTTTGTTTGGTTTGTCAGTACAAACTTACCTTTTCCGTATATGCAGGCGACTACACATAGTTGTGTTTTGGCAAAACATAGAAAATCATCAACTTTGGAGTCCAAGGATTTATTGCTGCACCTAGGTATGTTTTGAGTGTACCTTATTTTCAACCCACCCCTCTAAAAGAAGCAGAAAGAAAAAAAGGGAAGAGAAAGAAGGGGAAAAAAAGAGAGGAGAGGAGGGGGGGGGGGGGGGGGATGGTTTCATGCTATCTCTTTCTTTAGACTATTTGTATAGTAAATGTGCTTGAATCCTTTTGTTTCTACTTCTCTGAGTCCTTTGTTTTGTTTTCGGTCTATCTCTCCCCCTTTGCTTTGCTGATCTATTTGTTTCCTGTGTGACTATGCAGAGAAAAATTGGGATTTAACAATTCCAGGGTATTCAAGTGAAGAGAAGAAGCATAAGAGAAAACCTGTAAGCAACAAATTGTTTCTCCCCCTCTTCGTATCTCTTATAATAATCAGATTCTGACTGGCTATGCTTCAAACTTGCAGCAATTAAATGACCTCCACAAGAGGCGCCTAGATATGGTAAATTTGAATTATTCATGCGTGATTGATCTATATACTTCTTCTGTTGAAAAAATAATATAATTGATATGTTTTCTTTCCTTGCTGAACCTTCAACAATCAGATTCGCACATTGATGGAATCCTCACAGTCCGAATCAAGTATTATCAGTTCTAAAGAGACGAGTAGACAGGGCCTTCCTAACACCGTGGGCGCCCACAGCCTAATAAGACCCCTGAGTTCAGAGCAGTTGGTTTCTCATTCACCTGGTTCTCAACTGCAACAGATGACAAGGTTCTAATGAACCTTTGTTTTTTTATCTTCATGCTGCTAGGTTTAAACTAAGATGCCTTCTTTGGTTTCATTCTTTTCACTTTTTTTTGTAATATATCGCCCTCCCCCTTTTCGAAGTTGTTATTTATTTATTTTGTGCTTACTGTTCCAACAAGTCAATCTAGTCCAAAGGATGTATTATTATTGCAATCCGTATTCATCTTTCTCAATTGCAATGCAAAAATCATTAAAAGTGTTTGTTGAAATTTAAATGCAAAAAACTAGCATATATCTAGACACCACTAAGAAATCTCTAATAAAACTCTCTTTTGGGTAAGGTCTAATTAATCTTAACCCGAAGTAGGGTATTCTTTTGGGCCAAAATCGGGCCAATCCATTTTCTTCTGGTTTAAATCGGGCCAGCCTGGTTACTAAAATCTGTAGTTAATCAAAATTATCAACGTCTTTGCTTTTGTTGAATAGTGTCTTCACAACTGAAATCTGAATTTGAGCGGTTGGTCCAAGTCTTACCCAGTTTTTTTTTTACTCAGGTCCGGAAGAGATTGCTTGCTGTAACTGATTAGCATACGAGGGCATTATGACTATGATAGGGCCCAAATTAACAAAGCCCAATATGGCAAGGTTTATGTCAGAAACAACAGGAAAGGAAAACGGCCCAAAGGAGGAATCAGAATGGATACTGCTTCACAGCCCATGATGCATGCTGAGTCAGATAGTTTTTAGGAGAGTTTGTTACTCCTATTGCTGATAAAGGGGAGACGTGAAGAGGGAACGGATACCTTGGAGGTCATGAAACTTGCTATGGCAAAGTGGGAGATATCAAGGCATCTCGAAGGCCCCTGAACTTTTACATTCTGTTCGTTTTTTTATCTTTATTTCTTTCTGCAAATCTAAGCTATAGCAGCACTATAGTATGTAACTTGAATTGTATCAAGTGTAATCTGAATGAATTTTACTGGATTATGAATTGAATAGAGGAATTATTCAGAAAGCATATTGTTATTGTTTGATTCCTATCAAATTGGTATCAAAGCTCCAACTGGGAGCTGGGTTATGGTACGAACTAGAACAATGGATGGATTGGAAGAGCGTTTAAGTCGAACGGAGGTTGGGCAAGACGAGTTGCTTAAAAGAATGGATGCAAGTGATATAAACCAGGCTGAGATCATTAGACAGTTGAGAGAACTTGGAGCTGGTATCCAGGAGCTCAGATCTGACGCGTTTAAGAACGAACGCAATTTTGGGGATAGAAGGGGAACTAATGGCTGTGGTGTTTGATGTCCAGAAATGGAGACCCTATCTCTTGGGTAGGCATTTCATGGTTAAAACAGACCAGAAGAGCCTCAAGTATTTGCTGGAGCAGAGGGTATTGGGAGAGGGTCAACAAAAGTGGGTCTCAAAACTTATGGGATATGACTTTGAAATTCTTTATCAACCAGGAAGGGGGAACGTAGTTGCTGATGCTTTGTCCCGCAGTGAAGAATTTTATCTGTTGTCTACAGCACATTTGCCACAGTTGGGGGATATAGACCTTGAAGTGCAGGCTGATCCTCGGCTCTTAGGGATTATCCAGAATCTATTGGCTGATCCAGCTTCACATGTTGGGTTTCATTTACAGGGAGGACGCCTTTTCTACAAAAACAGGTGTCGCAACCGTATCGCGATGTGACGACGAAAGAATATTGAATGGTTAAAACAATGGAGTCGCCACCAAGGTTTATTTAGGAAAACATTGGAAAAACCTTTTTTAAAGACAATTGGTCTTTGACAGTAGAAATGGGTTCGGGAGTCGATTACGAGTAGGGAAGGTATTAGCACCCTACACCATCCGTTAAAAAAACGGTTACCTTATATTAGTTGTGCAAATTATTGATAAGATTTTAAATATTTATTTCACCCAAAAAAATTAAATAAAATCGATTGCTGGAAAAGAAAACTAATTTTGAAAATGTATTTTTGTGCTTGACGGGAAGAGTCCTGCTCCGACGTATCCCTCGGTACAATAGGGAACTCAAAGCTACGTCGTTCTGTAGAAAATATTTGTGTGTTGATTGATTTTAATTTTGAAAGTAGTTTAAAGAAAATATTTTGAAAGTTTTGAATTTGATGGTTTCGGAATATCAAACTGTCGCAGTTAAAATAATCCAAAACGATAATTGCAGGATTAACAAGCTGTCTCAACTCAGCTAATCCCCTTTTTTTAAAGAATAATAATATTCGTATTATTATTTTTTTATCGTAAATTTTATGATAAGTTTGATTTAATTTTGAATCACCAAGCCGTCACGGCAAAAATGAGTCAAAACAAAATGTGTGGGATTAACAAGCCGTCACGGCTCAGCTGACTCCCATTTCAATTGATATCAAACTAATTTTTATATCCTTTATTTTCTAAATTAACAATAATAAAAAAAATGATTGTTTGTTCACTTACAATTACTAAACGATTTAAAATCATGAGACTGTCACAATCAAAATGATTCTAAAAAAATAATGGGATTAATAAGCCGTCACGGCTAAATTAATCCCCCTTTTGTTATTAGTGTAATTTTAATTACCATTTTTCAATTAACGCCACTCCACCATTTTAAGGTAATAATTTAAGTAACTGAATCATTAATGTCCAATGAATACTCTATGAAAGTCTAATAGGCTAAAAAAATTCAAATATTCTAAGTATATCAAAACAACTTAATCATAATGCAGTCACGTCCTTTATTTTTTGTTCATTTTAAATTCATCAAAAATAATGACCAATACATGAGTTGGTGTGTCAAATAATTTTAATATACACAAAGACATATTATTCTTGATAGGTAACGTGCAAATCATGTCCATGAAAAGGGTCAAATAACTAAATAATAAAGAAATGTGAAAAAACATGATGAACTTCAGCAAGATTCTCCTTTTCTCATCATTTATTCTTATTAGCCCAAACTCCTCATTATTCAGCGTTTTTTATGGAAGATTTAAAATCAATATCTTAACACCCAATTTATCTAGAGAGGGAAGTTATCAATCAGACTTGAAGAGCATTTATGGACAATTATTCAAATTTTAAATCAAACCCACGGACAAGAAACAAAAGAATAAGATAAACAAATAAATAAAATCTAATCAGCCCAAATGAACTTTTAAGAATAAAAATTCAAACTAAATGCATAAAAGAACAGTCGAGCATGAGAGACAGTATCACAAACATCTCCAAGTGAACTGGTCAGAATGGAAAAGGACTGCAAATGTAACCACAGAGCAATATTGGTACCAAACAACTAACCCCAAAGACTAAATGCATAAGCACATGGGTTTAAAATCTCACCTCTTTGCTCCTCCTTGAAACTTTTATGGCGCGTCCAATGAGAATCGAAAATATTAACTACCGTCAAAGTTTCTTTTCTAATCTAATCTTTTGTTTCTGAATCCTTTTCTTTTCGAGTTCGACACTTCTCTCAAAGAAATTTTCTGGTTTCCTTCTTAGAAATCTTTAGCTCCATTAAAAAAACTAGGGAAAAGTCCACCGATGCCCCCGTGGTTTACTTCAGAATCACCTATGCCCCTATGGGTTTTTTTTTATCACATATACCCCTGTGGTTTGCTAAAGATAAAACCATCATATCCTTTTGCTTAACACCGTTAAAAGTTTATTTTTTCATTCCATTTATGCCCATCTACGTGCAAAAAGAAACCCCTGCACTACCTTTTCCTATTTCGTTCAAGTTCCTGTGCCTCTTCTTCTAGGATTTCCTCAAATCAAATATTCGATTGGGTTAAAGGTTGAAATTATGGTAAAAATATTACTTTTTCTTGTTGATTATAAGAGGGTTTTCCATATTTTTGTCTCCTTTTGTTCCGTTTGATTTTGTCACTGTTTTACATTTGTGACATGCAAATACAGAGACCAGCAAACAAAAGAGCTCTGGATGCAGAAGAAGATGACCATCTTGAACGAAAAAGGCGTGCTCTTGCTGGGTAAATATTGTCATTTTTTCTCTTATATATCTCTGCCATTTTAGAAAGTTGCAGCTCTTGATATTACTACTTCTCTTTGATCTTTTTTTTCTCTGCTATGTGTATCAATATATAGTTGGGTCAATGGGGTTTAGTAACGTGGGAACATGAACATCTATAGGAGCAGGTCATAGCATTATAAGAAGGCATGAAGCTTCCAATGTTTGACTTGAATGGTTAAAAGGGTCACCATCGGGTTTCATATTTTAATTTGTTTGATAGATTCATCAATCACATGTGTCAAATATTCAACATTGCATCATTATAAAACTAATGCAGTGGGCCATTTATTCAAGGAAACATTGTCACAGTGTACGATTGAAGGTATTATAGATTGACACATGAGGGTAAAAATGAACATGAAGCCATTAAATACAGTACCATTTTTTTATATCATTTCAAACAGTGAAGCAAAACCTTAGAATTTTAAAGATTAATTTAAGATAGCTAAAATTAGCCATTAGGTTTACCCACACATGGAAAAATAAATGAGTTCTCCTCACTATGGCCCATTCCTTTCCTCTCTGGAAAAACACATTTCATTTATTGACAATTGAATAGCATATACCCTTTAGCAAGGAGGACTTTATGAATGTCTGACTATTTGTCACGGACTTTGGTTATAAAAGAACCTTAGTGCTTCTGCTGAAAAATGAAAATAAATGTAAAATCATTGTATTCTCCAAACAGAAGCCTTAACAAAATGCTTTTATATGCTTGACTATGCATTATTTAAAAAGAAGAAGAAGAAGAAAAAAAAGGTAGGTGAAGACTAAGTAATCAAGAGTCTCAGAAGATAGACCATATATTGTTCAGAATCTTAATTATGAATAATCCTATTTTATGAGCTTTAACATCAGATAATTGGGACTTGTTGCAGGTAGACTATCCAGAAATGTTATCATGTCTGGAAATGTGTTTTTAAATGGAAAGGAAGGAAGACTTCTCTTTGATCTTTTTTTGCTCTGTTTTCTCTGCTATGTGTATCAATATATAGTTGGGTTAATGGGGTGTAGTAACGTGGGAACATGAACATCTATAGGAGCAGGTTATAACATTATAAGAAGGCATGAAGCTTCCAATGTTTATAAAACTAATGCAGTATATAAAGCGGTCCACCTAACTTTCTTTGCTTTTAAGTATTATTAGGAACCATAATTCTAGTATACAAATGTTTATACTATTTTAATTAATCTTACATATTATTGGTCTTTTGGATTGTAGTGACCGAAAAGAAATAGGGGATGAAGAAGGTCTTTTATCGCCTCCTTTGGATGAAGCATTTGACTTTACAACTCAAAGTGATCCAGTGGAACTGTCACAGGTGCTCAGCTGCCCTTTTTCCTTTTTTCCCTATTGAATTTTTAGCGTTTGATATTTAGAATCTAACTTCCATATGTGGTTGATACTAAGTTCTTTGAAGCCATGGAAGATGATGGAAGTGACTTTGAAAATGATATATTGGATGATGAGGCAACTGATGCAGTTTGCAATGCACTAACAATAGAGTCATTAGATGAGGAAGATATGGAGGAATTTATGGAGCCTATTGCATGTGATAAACTAGAGTCAATAGGCCCAAGTGACAATGAAGATCATGAATGTTATGATAATTATGCTGATTTCACGTCAGAAAATGCATTGGAGGGTAACATTGAATTATCAGTTGGCATGAAATTTGCTAATGTTGATGAATTTAGAGAAGCTTTGAAAGAATGGTCAATATCTCGTGGGGTTGAATACAAATGCAAAAAATCTGACAGGACAAGGGTAAGAGCTATTTGTAAGGTATCCAAAGATTGTAAGTTCCTAGTGCATGCATCATCAGTGGGAGGAGAAAATACATTTCAAATTAAATCATGGAACCCTGACCACACATGTCCTAGAGAAGCAAAAAATAACCTCATTACTTCTGATTACTTAGGGAAAAAATTGTTAGAGGATTTTAGAGCAAATCCAAAGGAG